GGCTAGAGTGCCGTGGTGTCAGCCTAGCTCAGGCAATCTCAAACTCCTGGGCTCAAGTGATCCTCCTGCCTCAGCCTCCCGAGTAGCTGGGATTGCAGGTATGTGCCACCACACCCGGCTAATTTTTCTATTTTTAGAGACGGGGGTCTCGCTCTTGCTCAGGCTGGTCTCGAACTCCTGACCTCAAGCAACCCTCCTGCCTCGGCCTCCCAGAAGGCTAGGATTACAGGCGTGAGCCACCGCGCCCGGCCACTCCGATAGACTTTCTAGAACTATCCCGGGGAGGCGCGCCCAGCGGGGACGCTGAGTCACGGTGACCCGGCGAAGGTGAGACCGCGCGTCCGGGGCTCGGTGCAGCTCCGAGCGCGGGCACTATCCGGAGGGCTCGTGCACACGTCTGCACACGCGGGAAAGGCAGGACCGAGCGCAGGCACTCCTGGGGGAAGCGTGCGCACGCATCTGCATGTGGCCTGGCACGTCCGGGATGGGCGGTGGTGCGCGTGTGCGCATGTCCCGGTGCAGGATCTGGAGCTCGGTTGCCGGGAGGGAAACGTGCAAAAACGCCTGTGTCCGCACGTCTCAGATGGAGATGGTGCGCGCATGTGCGCATGCGCTACATGGGCCCGAAGTGCGCATGCTCTGCATGGGGGCGGACTGTGCGTGCGCACGCGCACGCCAGGAGGCATGCGGGGATGGGGGACTACTTCCCTCCCGCCTCTCCCCCCGCCCCCCCCCCAGGAACTTGTCCCTTGTCGCGTCGGAACTTCATCCCCAGATTTTCCCTGTGAACCCATGGCTAGGTCTTAAAAAAAAAAAGCCTCCCACCGTACATAGGTGTGGCTTCCATGAGAATAGGAAGTCATGTTCTTCTTAAAGGTCTACATAGTCCTGCCCCTGGCGCCCCATGTTAATGCCGGTACAAACTCTGGTGATAGTGTATTTTTCTTTTAGTCCAATGTGAGAGCCTTTTTTGACTAGTTCTATTTTTTTGTTTTTTAAGAGACAGGGTGTGGCTCTGTCACCCAGGCTAGAGTGCAGTGGCACAATCATAGATCACCGCAGCCTCTTAATTCCTGGGCTCAGGTGATCCTCCTGCCGCAGCCTCCAGAGTTGCTGGGACTACCAGTAGCTAGGACTAGGGCACATACGACTACACCTGGCTGATTTTATCTTTTGTGGAGGCCGGTCTGTCTGGCTAAGTTGCCCAGGCCAACTCCAACTCTTGGCCTTAGGCGATCCTGATCCTCCCGCCTTGGCCTCCCAAAATGTTGGGATTACAGATGTGAGATGCCTAGTCTCTAGTTCTATTTTTGCTCTGTATTAGAATTTTAAAGTTCGGGCCCCAAAACACCTCCTTTCATCTGTCTCAATTTGCTTTGTGGTGGTCCCTGGTGCTGCCCTTCACCTAGGGACATGTGGCCGTGATCAAGACTCGCTCCTTGCTCTCATGGGACCTTGGTTCCAGTGAGGTACAAATGCAAACACACAAGATTCCAAGGGACTGCTAAGTACTATAATGTGAAAAAAAGCCAAGTTGGAGTGTGGGCTCTGGCCCTACAGCAGCCTCAGGTTGCAGGGCACAGGCAAGGCCACGTGGAAATGTGGGGGTCTGGGCACGGGAACCCCTGAGGCTGTAGAGGGAAAGGCAGGGGAAAAGCAGGAGCAAGGTGAGGACCAGTTGATGGCAGAGGAGATGTAAGAATACGGTGGAATTTGAGTGTGTGTGGAAATGTAGGACTTCAATGAGAGTGAAGGAAAGAACCAAGAGTATCTTACAGGACAGCAGCCTGAGCAACTGGGTGGACAGATGGTGGTGTTCTTACCAAAGATGGGGAAGACGGGGTTGTCTCCCTTCAAAGACCGAGTTTCAAGGGCAGGGACTGCGTCATCTTTGCAGTCCTGGCTCTTAGCAAGGGCCTGGCCTCTAGGCGACATTAGTAAATGTTGAAATGAGGTGACACACCTGAAACAATTCTTCTCCCGCACCTAGGCCCACACACCCAACTCGGCATCCCACCACAACCCACATCCAGTCCCCTCGCACATACGCAGAGGCCCGGGCCCAGCCAGCCTCCCCCGTGCAGCTGTATGGCTCGGCGCATGTGTTCCTTCCGGGAGCCCGCCCCTGGAGGTTCCTCAGGCTCACGGGTACATATCCCTGGGAGGCAGCCGGTCACGCTGTCCATGTACGTGGCTATGTAGCAGGTGAGGAGCTGACCACTGGGAAAGGTTTATTTCCTTTGTCTCCAGATCAGGAGGAGGGTCACAGCAGTGGCCACACAATGCACAGGCCACATGGTTGGCATGCAGCATTTCAGCTACACCCCCTACCCCCCCACACTGGCAGCCCCACTCTCAAGGAACCCCCAAGTGGAAAAGGAGGGTCTCAAGCCTCCCAACTGCCTGTGTGTCCCCCATTTCTCAGAGGGGGCCTAGGCCTCCAGGGACCCTCTAGGAGCTCAGGTCTAACATCTGTTCTGCTTCCACCCCACCCATCCGGTTTCACAGCCAGGGAGACAGGACTCCACTCCTGTCTGCACCACTGCTGTGAATCAAAGCCAGTGACCAGCACTGGGTGCTTGTGTGAAATGGGAACACAACTTGAATAAGATACGTACTTCTTTTCCTGCTAGCATTTTAATACAAACTTCCAGTGTATTCCTTAGCACACTCATGCAACATGGCTGTTACTAAGCAACCTTGTTCTGAGGTGCATTTGGAAGGTTCTAGAACTTCGTCCCCATGCTCAGCCTCAAGGCGTCTCAGCAGAAAGAAGCTGAAGTGGTACTTACACTCGCAGGCTATAAATTACTGCGTTTTCCTAAATTCATGAAAAAAAGTTTCAATGAAGAGCTTTCTTTCTGTCAATCAAAATGAGTTGAAATTCCCCTGTAACCCACTCTCCCTTTGTGGTTCTCCTGCCTAGCGGGATGGCATCATCCAGTGAGAAAGGTCCTTCTTATGCCTGTGAGGCAGGGTCTCTCTGCCACAGATTGGGTCCTGGGTGTGGGGAGAGGGTGAAACAAGTTCTCCTTCCGGGGTCTGCTTTTTGGACAGGCTGGCTGGGCAGGTCAGAGCACCCAGGTTTGGCAGGATGTGGGTGTTGGCAGACCCCAGCCCAAAGAGCGAGCCTGCGTCCTTCCAGAGACAGGCTCCTTTGCCACTGTGCTGGCTCCACTCGTGCAGAGGCTTAAACCATCTATGTCGTTAGGGAAGCCAAGACAGGAGATGTGGCTGGTGGTTCTGCTTCCTGCCCATCCATTCCCGCTCACCTGACTATCCCAAGTGACCTTCCCCTTGTAAGTCTCAGAATCAGGGAACAAGCTGACTTAAAAACCAACTCATGTGCAGCTTCTCAAAGTAATGAGTCAGGCAGGGCTTCTGACATGGTGTCTGCTGTTCATTTTAAACAAAGATACAAAGTATTATTAAATGTATATTTTTAATAAAGCCAATAGTTATTTTACTTATAGGAGCTTTAAAAGATACAAAATGTAGAGTTCCAGTTTGGAAGCATTGTAACTATTCACACGATGTCCTGCTGATGCCCGAGCAAGGCAGCCACGCCCGGCCATGCAAAGGACACACATTCACACACGCACACACATGCGCTTTGGCGAGACCCCTCTGCCGAGCGCAGCACCTGGAATTACCAGTGTTCAGAGCAAGGTGGTGCTGGGAACACAGCACCTACATAGAGACCACACAGACAGCTTCACACAGTCTCACCGCCCATGGAGATGCAATTAAAAAACGTCTTCCTTAATAGAGAAGAACAAACTGGAAAGTGACAATTAGCGATGTCAACTGCGCTGGGGCATCAAGGACCGACCTCTGTCCAAGGTGAGGTCTTTGGGGAGGCACTATTAAAACACGAGTACTTCAGTGTAATAGAACTCGAAATACAGGGTACTGTGGACACATTACTGGAGGAAATAGAAAACTATCTTACAAGTAAAACAGCCACAAACGACTTTAACAGAGATTAGTGTGCACACTCTGACAGCTAACACAGACGAGAGCCACACGGGGTCGGTGCAAAGCACGTGCCTGAAAAGGTCTATATACAAAATAGTTCTCTGTAAACATGGTAGGTGAATGCTCAGAACCCGCGGTGAAATCATAAATACAGGCAGCAACGGCATCCCCACACAGCACAGAAGACAACGCCCAAGGCCTGGGAACAGCCGACAACACAGTACTACAGATTCAGGTGGCTGGGCTCAGACACCCTCAGGGTCCTCTACAATTAGTGTGTATGTGTGTGTGCGCGCGTGTACATACATATATATATATATATTTATTCTTTTTGGTATTTTTAAATATAAATTTACTTATATCTGTAGAAAAATGAGAACATAAATGTGTTATTACAATCTTTGCTGGAAAAGCTTATGTGGAGCTAGAAAGAATAAACCATTTATTAGTAGTTAACATATATTAAAATGGTTTAATGATTTAAGAAAATATAAAAAAAAATATTAATACTGTCAAACTTTCATACCAGAAAATATTATGGATTTTTCTCAATTAGACTTTTTCAAAGATGAAATATGAAAAATTTAAATAAGTTTTATATAAAGAACTTTCTGTAACCTCAATTACTATACAGTGGGATATGTCTATTCTATATAGATATATTTATTATTATTTCTCGATTGAAGCACCATTCAATTCTTCTGGATCCATTCTGGCTGGAAAATACTCCTAAATCCACAGGATGTTATCTATTTCATGGCACATGTTAACTGAAAATGAGGTGGATTTTTTTTTTTTAAGAAAAGACTTTAGTTTCTCTCTACATCTTAATTGGTTTGTCTTCTGAGCCAGCTCACAATGTCACTGCAGTTTCAGGTGCAGGTGTCTCTGTGCAGCCCCTGACCACGCCCGCACGCTCTGAGCACCGAGCGGTGCCTCTGGCCATGCGGGGAAGGGCCCGGGGGCAGCAGGTGCAGCTCTGCCCTGCACACCACGGCAGCCAGCCGCTCATCTCCGCGCGCCGCGCGCCTTCGGCAATACGCCTCCGCCGTCAGTTTTACAATGCTGCTGCTGTGAATCTGGCAGACACTGCACTCCCCGGGTCCTGCTGGGGGGCACCGGGCTGCCCACCCACAGAAAGCCCAGGTGACTGCTTCTGCTCACAAATATTCTACACTTTGCCCATTTTATATAAGCTTAAATAAAGATAGTGTTGAACAAACCTCCAGCCAGTATATCTGTTACCTTAAAATATTCAATGCATGTTAGGCAGGAGATGTTTTAACTAAAAACCTACGTGAAAAAATAGCTATAAAATACAGTGATTGGTGTGGTCATCACTCAAGGTGTGAAGGGAGGAGGAGGAGAGGGTTTCAGAAGAATGGTCAGTTTTGCTCTAAGCCTTCAGGCCTGATGCCTTCCCAACACACAGCAGGACTAAAAACCCACGAGCTGTGTTTCTCAAAGTGTGGCTGGTGGCTGCCTGCATCAGAACCACTGAGGTGCTTACTAAGCATGCAGATTCTCCAGCATCCTGAGGGTTAGAAACCTCTGTCTACGGCTGGCTCTCCAGGGGTCTGATACCTCCAAAGTTTGAGAAGCCAGGCTTTAAAGGCAGCTGCCAACCACCCTTGTCCCCAAGGAACTCTCCCTGGGACAGGGGTACACTGGTCCTCTGGGGGGCTGGTGTCAGCTAGTTGGCCCTAGGGCGGGGACACTCACCCCAACAGCTCTGGGCACGCAAGCAGGCTGGCCCTCGATCAGTACTGGGGCAGGTAAGCCGGCCTGCGCTCAGCCTTCCCAGGGAAAGCCTTGAAGGCCTTGGGTACTGCCTTGTGTGCTGGTGGGGGCGGGGGCTGTGGTGGGGGCTGCACGTAGGTGAAGGAGGTGGCACTGCAGTCACTGGTCGCAGCCCACACTGGGGACTGCAGCATTTGCATGGTGTCGTTCCACTGGCTGCCGGGGCTGGCGACAGCATAGAGTGGTGCGCTTGGGCTGGGCAGAGTGCCGGGCAGCGGGGAAGGGTGTTGCCAGGGTGCTTTGGGTGGCCATGTTTTGGTTTTGTTATCCTGAGAAACAGAAAAGAGTCCTTAGTGGCATTTCTGGTGATTTATCTTTTCCCACTTCCCCAGACCTCTGGCCCTTAGTCCCACCTCGAAGACAAGGTGAGAGCACCACCCCCTCCCACAGCCCTGTCCAACAGGACTGCTGGCGACGACAGCAATGTTCTCTGCCTGCACTGTCCAGTACAGTAGCCACTCGCTATATACAGCTACTGCAACTGAGGAACTAAAGTTTTATTTATATTAATTTAAATTTATTTAGCCACAGGTGGCAAACGGCTATCATACTGGACAGCTCAGCCCTAGAGCTTCCTCTACATGCGGTTCTGAGTCAGCTGAGCTGGCTAATCATTTAGAAAAAATCATGAGAAAAAAGTTATTCACCACAAAGAGGACCCCTTATTACTTCGCGGCCCTCTTAAAACTGAAGCTGTGGAAACTGGCCCACGGTCTGTACCCACGAGCCAGCTGCGATACCTGGTTCATGTCCTCTATCGTAGTGAGGAGAGGCGGCGAGGGCAGTGTACTGGTCTCCTGCTCTCCACTGCTGTGTTTCCTGAAAGAACCAAGAGTTCAGAGCAGTGATCACCCAGCTTCCTGTCCAGCCCACCTGCAGGGGACACCCTAGCTGCTTGGCTCTGGTGTCTCTGGGCGCTGGTTCTAGGTGGGGGGCCTTGGATCCAGGGGGATAAGGGGAGTCGGCATTGAGTGGTGCACTCCCAAAGAGCCAGCACAGGCAGGTCTGGCGGCGTGGGTGGCAGGCATGAAGACAGGCTTCTTTCAGTTGCTCTGAGTCCACCACCTTTAGCCTTCTGTTAATTTATTCAGCAGATACTGACTGTTCACCATGTATCGGCAATATGTGACTTAAAAACAAAAGCCCAGGCCAGGTGCAGTGGCTCACACCTGTAATCCTACCACTCTGGGAGGCCAAGGCAGGAGGATCACTTGAGCCCAGGAGTTTGAGGTTCCTGTGAGCTAGGCTGACGCCACGGCACTCACTCTAGCCCAAGTGACAGAGTGAAACTCTTGTCTAAAAAAAAAAGAAAGAAAAGAAAAAAAAGGGGAAAAAAACCCAAAAGCCCATTGGTTTTACTACCATAACAACATGAAAAAGTTTGTTGCGACACTGAATAAAAAGGCAGGCTTGGCGGGATCGGAGCCAGCACTCCTGCATGCGGACGGCAGTCTCTGCAGAAGTGGTGCTAGAAGTGACTTCTTAGATGTCTAACCAACTGCACGTCTAAAACAGGAGTCTTACACTCTAGCCCGGCTCAAACCTGCTCCTCCTGCAGTCCCCCATCTCAGTTCCCAGCACCCCGACACCCAGCAGCTCAGGCTGAAAACGCGCGTGTCACCCCCTCGCACATTCCCCACCGCCTGTTCCCTCCCATTGCGCCCTCACTTTGCTCAGCTCTCTGCTCATCGGGGGCCCCCTTGGCTGCCGTTCTGAAAATAGAAAATCCACCTGTTTCTTGCATTTTCCACCTCACACCCTGTTGTATTTTTTGTCATAGCGCCCAGCCCAACTTATTTAATGTTTTCTTTTTTATTTGCCTTCTCTCACTAGAATACGAATTCCAAGAAGAAGGGGATTTTGTTTTGTTTGCACCTACACCACCAGCGCCTGGTACATGACAGGTGCCACTGAATGAAAGAATGAATGAATTTAACTTCTCTGAGCCTCAGTTTCCTCACCTATTAATTGGGGATAAAATAGGACTCATCAGGTGGTTGTTATGGGTTGAATAGTGTACCCCCAAAATTCATGTTGAAGTCCTAACCCCCTGGACCTCAGGATGTGACTGTATTTAAAGACTGGACCTTTAAAGAGGTAATTAAGTTAAAATGAGGTCCTTAGGCGAGGCCCTAATCCAGTATGATTTATGAGAACACTAGGACGCAGATACACTAAGGGAAGGCAGACACAGGGAGAAGTGGCCATGACAAGCCAAGGAGACGATCTCAGAAGAAACCAACCCTGCCAACATCTTGATCTCGGACTTTTAGCTTCCATAACTGTGAGAAAATAAATACCTACTGTTTAAGCCACCCCGTCTGTGGTAATTTGTTATGGCAGATCTAGCAAGTAAATATAGTGGTTGTGACAATCAAGTGGAAAAATGAATGTAAAGTGCTTAGGCCAGGGCCTGGCCTACAGAGAGTATCCTAACTCGGGCCGGTGACCCATCACGGGCATCACCTCCTTTACTACTCTGCGTACCCCGACTCAGGCACCCTTCCGTCTGTCCGCACCCGCTCCCCACTGCTCATCCAGTGAAGACTGACCCTGGCACACGCAGCTGTGTACCGAGCTTCCCTTCCCATCCCACGGCACGGCTTCTGGTGCCCGGCGAGCCCTGCACGCTCTCCAGTCCTGCCCGTGTCCCTTAGTCTGCCACCTCTGGACTCGGCTTCCTCAACCCATAGCAGTCTGTCTACTTCTTTCTAACCAAACTCTTCTCTTAGTTCACAGCCCATTTTAATTTTTGTGACTACTTTTGAAACATTCTCAGATCTCAGTATGCTATATTACTCCTTTTTTCAACTTTAAAATACCATTCAGAGGTCATTTTATCCAGTACCACCTATGACAAAGAAACTGAGGGTCAGAGAGGGCCAGGCCCTCGTCTGGGGTTCCAGAGCCTATCGGTGAGTCCAAGTTAGAACTTGGTTGTCCTGGCCCTGTTCCTCCCAAAGAAAGGGCTGCCTCCTGCAAGGCACAGACCCTGTCTCCTGAATCCTCCCTCACCTATCACACTGGTATTTCGGGCTGCCGTAAGACTGTTCTGCCAGCAAAAACTCGACCCAATGTTAAGTCACCTGGGCCGCAAGCCTGTGTGGTGGCCCCACAGAGGCCTCAGAAGATGAGGCCAGCTCTTCCTTGTGGAAAACACTTCCTGAAGGTGTTCTTTAGGCCGCGCTCCCCTCTCTCCTCCCCTTGGTTTAGGAATCTCTTCTTACCTTCTCTGCTTGACAGCAGCAACGAGATCAGGCCCTGAAAACATGGAGAACAAGCTGTCTCCATTGGCCGAGGACGTCTCATCACTCGAGCTGGCTGAATCTCCCTGAGCGCCTGACCAACCGCTGTGCAGGCCATCCCTGAAAGCCAAAGGGAGAAGCTGGTCCAGGGCCTCCTGCAGCCAGCGTGGACACTGGCTGCACAGACCCGAGGCCAGCCCTGACCCTCCACCCCAGCCCTAAAAGAGCAGTCCTTACCTTGTACTCATAACCAAATAGTGGTCTGTCTCTCCCTTCTAAAAACTTAAGGTTTTCCTTCTTGCCCTTATTTCAAAAGCAATACATATTCATCACTTCCCTTTATTCCTCTAAGAAGCCTGCAGTTTGTATGTAAAATTCACTTTAGAGAAAACAAAAAATTAAGATGGTCTTTAGTTATCCAGATTTATTAACCAGGTAGCAATGTAAGATGTGAAAAATCCCCAGTTTTGTTTATGATAAAAATCCACAATTTCCTCAACACACTGGAATCTGAACCATAAACCTTTGCTTTTCGTAGCTACACTGATAGCATCCCATAAATCACACGGGTTTCACAGCCGTGCTCATTTCAGTATGAAGACTGTGCTCAACATGGGATTGCTTTACAAACACCATCAAACAATATCTTTGTCTAGCACTACAGAATCCGTCTTGAAAATTATGCATTTACACCAATGGTGTGTTCACAGGGACACATCACACCACCTGGCATCTCACAGTCAGTCACAGAACTCTGATCCCCTGCAGATCCGCGTGTCACTCTCTCATGTGGGGGCTTGAAATTGAACTGCCTGACAAGAATGCACAAACGCAGGGAGGCTCTCTTCTCATAGACCCCATGGGGGACACTCAAGTCCCACTCTCGGCTTCCCTGCTGTACCCCGGCACTCACCCTTCTGTAAAGAACTCCGGGAAAGGCCAGGTCCGGTGGGCGTCGTCCATGGGCGGCCAGTTGCCCCGGGGGTTGCCTGGACGGCGGCCGTGTTGGGTCTGCCGCTTCTGCTGCATGGCCTGGCTCACTCCTGCCACGTAGCGCGCGAACTCCGGGTCTGAACCCACTGTGTTGAGACAAAGGAACAAACGGGGTTTGGGGCCAACCTGGCCTCTTGGTTCCCTCGCTACCCTCCGAGAATGTGCTGGTCACACATACAGTGGAAGTGGGGAGGAGCGGCCAGGCGTGTGGCCCACAGAGGCGGGCGTAGGCCTTGCCCAGCACCCTGCTACAGTGAGATGGGGCTTTCAGCACACGGGTCTGACCCTGGGGTGTGGTGTGTGCCGGGGCTGTCAGGAGGGGTTTTGCCCAGGACAGAGGCAGGCTGAGTACGAAAGACAGACAGAAAGAGAGAAAGATGATTTGATTTATCCATGACCAGATTTTAAAGACAAATACTAGTTACTTTAAAATTATCCAGTATCAGTGATCTAGAACCTCTTATAATTTCCTGTATTAAACTTAGGTCCATTATCCAAAGTGAGGCACCACAAGAGCGGAAGAACGGGCTCCACTTGTACTCGCCATCAAATTGGCACTAACTGATCAACACTAGGGTGCTCACATGGCAGTAATACTCTCCGGGGATTTGGGGGATTTGGGGAGGGGGGTAAACCTGCAACTAAAGGACACGGGGAGCACTGTAGGGGGGAAGGGCATGCCTTTAACCCTCGCTTGAGTGAGGCAAAGACATAAAGTATAACCATGTTTGTACCCTCATGATACCCTGAAATAAAAAATTAAAAAATTATCCAATGTCTTGGTGCTATGTACCTAGAGTTATTAGGTAACAACTTAGAAAATCAGATGATGACTTTGGCTGACAACTGGAAGCTATCAAAGCATCAGCGCCAGCCAGATAGAGGATATATACCGTTCCTGCTTGAGCCAACCTGCATTTTTTTTTTTTTTTGAGACAGTCTCACTCTGTCACCCTGGTTAGAGTGCAGCAGCATGATCATAGCTCACTGCTACCTCAAACTCCTGGGCTCAAGCGATCCTTCTGCCTTAGTCCCTCCCAGAGTTTCAGGACTACAGGCGTGAGCCACCGTGCCCGGCCCTGATCCAAGCTTTGATTCAGTATTTTTCTGGATATTGGACAGGAGACTTGCTCATTCTGTCTGAAAATAATAAGAGCAGCAAAGAATGAGATGCGATTTTAGAACGCTTCAAGAGGTGGCTGGAAACATACTGGACAGAGCTGAGTAAGGATGTGCAGGGCAGTACAAGTGGGAGCAAAGGAGCACAGATGGCATTTAGAGAAAGTGTCAAACAAAAAGATATGGCAGGAAAGCATCTATGGGTCACCAATCAAATAGGACTCAGTAGTGCCTACTTTTTAGCTTCAAATCAGGATAGATACTAGGGCACAATCCCATTATCAGCTTGTTCTCAGGGCACTGGCACAGGACCATGGCTGTGCCAGCTGTGCCCAGCACAAAGACACCCACACCAGGGGAGAGAACAGGGGCTGAAATAGAGGCCTTGATACCAGAGTTAGTCAAGCCACGCCCCCTGTTCAGAGGGGGCACTAGAGGGCGCCTTCTCTAATTCACCTGTCCAGAGGAGCACCCCTCGTTAATTTGCACAAAGGACTGTGCACATCTTGTGCCCTTGGGGTGGGGTCTATATTAGGCTACATCATGGACTTGAGGGTTAGAAAAGAACACCCAGAAGAAAAATGATTTGTAGGCTAAAGACATAACAGTTGTCAGGGTCTGGACAGAAGTCAAGTACAGTAAAATTCTGCCAAACACTGTATTCTGGATTGAGTTACACGACTGTCCAAAAACGTACAATTTATCACCAATTGTGAAAATGTGCCATGCCTACCCCAGTTGGTGGCAGCCAGACGGGCTTGCTCTTTCATAGCAGGGAAGAACTGTCTACCCTTCTTGTGGCCCAGGGGTGCAAGTACAAGGTTTTCTACATCCACCCACCCAAGGGAAGCAAGAACAGGAAAGCACGAGCAGCAGTATGAGGAATTTTTACAAGACATAATTTTTAGAAGACACTTCCTTCCTTTAAAAGTTAATGCTGGGGTGTTTTAGCAAGGAATTTCCTCTTCTGGTGGTATTCGCTTATAAAAATATTTGTTATACTTATTTACAATATTTCACAGTATTCCCCCATGAATGGAATATATTTTTTACTTCTGTATGCCTTCTGCTAAATTAGATAAAGGAGTTTGCATCTACCTACCTTATCAGATTTTCTTACTAATTCTAGAAGTTTTTTAGGGGAAGTTTTTTCAATTCTATTATAAGCAAAGAGATGTGCCTTTTTTTTTTTTTGAGACAGTCTCACTTTGTCACCCAGGCTAGAGTGCCACGGCATCAGCCTAGCTCACAGCAACCTCAAACTCCTGGCCTCAAGCGATCTTCCTGCCTCGGCCTCCCAAATTGCTAGGATGACAGGCATGAGCCACCATGGCCAGCAGTACTCTCTTAAAGTGCTTTTAATTCCTATGTTTGTAGTTGTTTCTCCTTTCTATTGCCCAATTTGGTTTCTCTCTGCTTTCTCATGCTCATAATAAATTGATTTGTCTATTTCACTGGTCTTTCAAAGATCCTCCTTTTAGATTACTAATTTCTACTGTATTTTTCTTTTTAATTTACTTAATTTTGGCTTTTTCCCTTAATTCCTCTTCCTAGTTTATTTTTGTTTTGTTTCTAAATTCTTTCTCTGATTTCTTAAGATGACTCTGGTGGTATTTTCACACTGTCTAAGCCAGGAGAAGGTGTATTTCATGAGGCAGGACGGTACCCTGCCACCTTTCACAGGTCCTACAGTTTAGGGGAAAAAAAAGAATCAGGAGAACAGGTTATGTCGTCAGGGAAAAAGTGCCCCACAGCTCCCAAGAATAGCAGGGCCCAGCCTGGAGCCCACCTGAACTATGGGACACTGAGCCATTCCAGGAACTTCTGTCAGCCCCGGTCCTGCTCTCTAGAACATGGGAAAAACAGTTCCACTTACCTTTTCAGGCTCCTTCTCATCACTGTCTCCCACTCTTGCTAGACCTGCCCCACGTTTGTCTCCACAGTGCGGAAGGGTCTTGAAGAGGGGTTGGTTATCTAACCTTCACAGGCGAGGCTGTGGCAGCCAGGCCTGTGAAGTCCTGAGCACTAGAGTTCACGGTGAAATGGTTAAAGGGGTGTGGAGGCCTCACGTACCTGCAGGATCAAAAGGCAGGATCTCTCCCAACATTCCAAAGACTCCGTCGCTTTGGTCACGGTTTGGCCAGGTGTTATTTCTAGGTCCCTGCGGCTTCTGTCCCAAAACCTCCGACATCACATTGTCCATATAGCTGCTCACCAGACCCAAGCTGTACAAGTCAGAGCTGAGATCAGACATGCCGGGCCACTGACCAAGAGGAGATAGGCCTGCTCCAACGGTCTGTGCTGGCTGCTGGGATGAGCCATGTACCCACTTCCCAGGTGCCCGAGGCTGGGGTGGGGGCTGCTGCGATCCAATGGGTTGGAGTAGGTGTTGGTAGTATTGGACCTGGGGCTGCTGTTGCTTTGGGGACTGCTGTTGAGGCGCCAGTCCTGGCTGGGGTGTCAGAGGCGTGTGTGCCCCGGCCTGGGGTGGCCGTGGCGGAGGGGGCACTGACAGTGACGGCTGCTGTGGCTGCATGGCTCCTGCCTTGTGCTCAGTCACCATGGCTGTGGCAGCAGAATTACGCCTTGTCACCAGCGGAGAGCCCTGATGTGACTGGCCCATGTTAAAGCCTGAGAGAAAATCTATTACCTCTTGCATTTCCTGATCTGTTGGTAAGTTCATACCCTTCTCGTCCTTGCCATCGTCCCCATGCAGGAAGGTCTCACGTCTCTCCATGAGAAAGCCATTGGCCACTGGATTACTGGAACTCTGAGCTGACTGTGCAGGGTCTGCAGTCCTAGGGAAATGACCGATGTTCAGAATGTTTTGCAACCTGGCGTCAATACTACCGGGCATCTTGGCCTTCTCTTCTGAACACCCGGCTATGAAGACGTTTTTGGAAGGGGTGTTTTGGATGGAATAATTGGTGCTGCTGCTGGAGCCGGCACATGAAGCTTTCTTGGTGAACCGGGAGGTCAGTTTGGAGAACGTCTTCTGCAGGCCACCCGAAGATTTGTTTCCATTTCCGGAAGGCAGGTCGGCCTGATTCCCAAAGTCACAGATTTCCCTTTGAAGCTGGATCTGTATGCAGGGTAAAGCTTGTTCTCTGTTTAAACAGAAATTTATTTATTTAAAAAAAGGACAAATACACAAATTGGAGAATAAAATGGACATCTTTCTATTTAAGAAAGACTTTGAAAACAAGAAAGACCTCTCTAGTTGGCATGAGATTCACTTATTTCATAGCTAAATGAACGAATGCCCAAGGGTTTTGAGAATACGTAATCTGCAACACCTAACACAGGGCTGTGGAAACTGTGACATTACAATAACGTTATAATTCTGAGGCGTCTGAGTGAGCGAAGCCCTCAAACGGCGTGCGGGAGAGCTACGCATGGCTACAGGGGGGGACGCCACTGGCACAGGTTACCTTCGTGCCGAGGAACAGGGACTGAGCGCTACGCGGTCCAGCAGAGGGACAACGGACAAGTCCACAAAGCAGAGGGAGGTGGTGGGAGAGGACCTGGGGATATCGTGCACCACTGTTGCTGGAACAGATGGCTATTACTTCCACAGTTTTCTGAGCACTTTTTTCCTGTACTAACAGAGAACCCTATGGACAGAGAGGGCACGGGGAAGAAGCTGAGGCAGACGATGGCTGGGGTGAACCTGGAGAAGCTGCTTCACTGTTCTGGGCCTCTGGGTGCTCATGGGTTAAGAAAGGGAGAGGGGGCAGGACTAGCTATGAGGCCTGTTGGCAAGTATCCAGCCACGTAACACGAGTCATTATATTAACAATGGCTGGATACTTTCTGGACAGCCCTCGTATTTCAGGTCCCTAGCAATTCTGAAGTTAACAGTTCACAAAGAGATAACCTGGCCATTGTTGGCTACTTTCAGATGTATGTAAATTTCATGAAGGATATAAGTAAATTTTCTAAACATTTCTCTGCTCTGAGTTCATAAGGAGAACATGAGTTGGGTTAAAAGTCCTCTTGATGGACTTCCTTTCAAATGACAAAATAAAGGCAAAAACGTTAACAAATTGGGGAATCTGGATAAAAGGTGTACAGCAATTCTTTGTACTATATTCTTACAATTTTTCTGCAGATTTGAAATTGTTCTAAAATAAAAAGTTACTGAAAATTCTCTATATTGCTTTATTTACCCACATACTATCAGTGACGTGAGCATACGTGAAATTGTGTGTGGTCACACTGTCCCCGGGTATGGACCTAAGTGCAAACCACTCACACAGCCAATTCAAGGGACTGGTGCAGACACCGACCTCCCTGCTCTCCAGCGGTTCAGGTCCAGCACAGCAGTGTAGAGCACATCCACCAGACCCAGGGTCTTCTCAGGATCAAGGCTTCTCTGCAGTAGGGACATGGTGGCAGGATCTTCTTTCAGGCACCTAGGCACAAACCGGGCTGCATCTGTTTTGGCTGTACCTCTCTGCAAAGGTGTTTCAAGCAGGCCTCACAGAGAAGGCTACAACTTTCATGTACTTTTGGCCCCCAATAAAAATTCAATAACTATAAGAACATCTAGAGAGTAACAGGGCTAATGCTGGAACTCACTGTTCTGCAAAAGTAGGAGGAAAGGCCTAGGGTCTTGTGACGTAAGAAATATGTATTTGGTCTCTGTTTCCAGTTGCTGTTACAGAGCTCCTAAAATCTTTGGGATTTCCGGGGTGACAGCAGTGTTTTTTTTCCTAATGAGATGACTTTTGATGGGCTCCTGGGTAGCTTCAGGATGGGGGCCTGGTCACCAGAAACACTAAGCCAGGATTAGAAGCCTGGGATTTCCAGCCTCACCCTCCCCATCCTCCAGGGAGTGGAGAGGGGAGAGCCCTAGACTGAGGTAATTATCAATCATGCCTACATGATGAAGCCACCATAACAATCCCTAAACCACAGCTTCCAGGCTGGTGAACAAATAAGCTGCTGGGAGTGTGGCACACCTAGACAGGGCAGGGGAGCTCTGTGCCCCTCCCACACACCCACCTTATGCACCTCTTCATCTGGCTGTTCCTCTGTATCTGCTGTAATGTCCTTTATATTACAACAAACCAGTAAATGAAAGTAAATGTCACCCTCAGTTCAGGGGCCTTTACAGCAAACTATCGAACCTGAGCAGGAGGTTATGGGAACCCCCTGATTTACAGAGGGCTGGTCAGAAGTCAGGTGACAACCTGAGACTTGTTATTGGCATCTAAAGTGGGAAGCAGTCTTGTAAGACTGGCCCTTAACCTGTGGGGTCTGTACTAACTCTGGGTAGTTAGTATCAGAACTATATTGTAGGCTCCTTGGGTCTACAAAGGAGAAAAAAAAGAAAAAGAATTATACTGTAGGATACCCAGTGTCCACAGAAAACTGGAGAACTGCTTGGTGTGGAAAACCCACGTTTGGTGTCAGAAGCATTGTGTGAGTAGAGGAAAACAGTTTTGGTTTCCATCTGGAGTTTACCAGGGAGAGAAGGACTCAGTGAAGAGGCTCTTTCCAGGGGCCCTAACGCCTCTCTGGCCAACGCCAGGTCTCTGCCCTGCTGCGCGGTCTGGCACAGTATCTGCTCCTTTGCAAACTCTTTTCCACAGAGCTCCTGTCCCCCTCCTTTCCTCCACAGCACTTCATGCCTATACCTAAGAAACCGGGAGTCAGTAGAGGGAAAAACTGTCACGGCCTGCCATCTGACTCACTGAAAATTTAAGGCAAGCAAGGAACATGGCCGTCCCATGAACTGATTTTACTCCTTTCCAAGATGACTATTTCACCCCTCATCCTCTCTCCTCACGGGTCTGATATCCCTGTCGCATCTTCGATTCCTTTCTATCTCAACTCTCGCTAAACTGAGAAAATACTTGCGAGCAGCTGACAGCTACTTCATCTCCCCTCACCGCTAATTCCACCAGTTCACCTCATCTGTGTCTGCACACCCTACTGCCCTCCTGTCCTAACACAAGAAGTGTCCTGTTCTTGCCGCGGGCTGGCACCTGAGCATTGGGTGCCATGTGCCCTCCTGCCCTCCCAACCCTCTGTAATCACCCATCTCTCCCGTTACTCCCTTTGGCAAACGAACCAGCCTGACGATCACCCTCTCTTAGCCCCACATCCCCCTCCAGATACTGCCCCAGTTCTCCACTCCCACCTCAGCCAGACACACTGTCTCCTCCTTCTCACCCCACTCTGATCAGGCTTTCATCCCCTAACGCCACTAAAATAGCTTTTATCCAACTGAGATCTTACCAAAATCACAGGTCAGTTACCTTTGTCCACCTTACTCAATCTCTCAGCAACAGTCTGCAATGTTTCTTTCTTCCTGGAAACAACGTCTTCTTTAGATCTGATGGCCCCACACCTGCTCAATTTTCCTCCGACCTCCCTGGCAGCTCCTTTTTGGTCTCCTCTGCCAACGCCTCTTGCTCCTCTTCTCACCCAACACCTCTATATGGTAAAGTACCCCCGGCCTTCGTCCCCTGTCCCTAGAGTACTGCCGCTCTACAGACCATCCCTACACTACTGCATTTCCTTCGCCAGCCTAGACCTTACCCCTGAGCTCCACTCTCCATCAAGAGAACTGTCTGAGCTGCACAGGCCCACCAGGAAGACGTTTGCCAGTTCCTGGGCATTAAGTGGTGAAATCAACACTGTGAAGTCACCCTAAAGAGGCAGCAGCACTACCCAACATGACTTTGGCTTGAGAGGAAATACGTCTGAGGATGAGACGAGAGCTGGCCAGCCTCAGAAGCACAGGAAAAGGTGAGCGACAAGATAAGCACTGTCAGTGCCCAATCAGACCCTGGACACGTGGGACAGAATCTTGGCTGCTGAACCTGGCCCAGGCTCAGTGCCCACAATCCTCTCAGCCTGGAGTCCCTGATTATAGGACACAGTTGTTCTGTGCTCCCAAGCCAACTTCTAGTTGCAAAACGGCTGGCCACGTGTTTGCCCACCAGGAAAGCATTTGCTGGTCATGCAGAAAGCACTGGTATACTTTCTAGTGATAATTTCTCTTTCTGAAAAACCAATTTATTGGCATTTTTATTTTGTTCATCAGTCTCGAGAGCTGATCAATAAAATGCCCTTATAGAGACTATATCCGTTGTGTTGACAAATCACCAAGACTTGCTTTAAACCCTCTACCTCTTCTTAGATAAAAACCCAATTCCTTCAAGGCCCCACGTGTTTTGACTTCTATGACTCCACATGTTCTCACCACCTACCACACCTCCATCCAGCCGGCCCACTCCCCAGGCCTGGCACTTGCTGCTCCTTCTGCCCGGTCGCTTTCCCCGCCTTCTCTCTGCACGGCAAGCTCCTCTCAGATCGCAGAGCTCCTCCTGACTGACCTGCCCATCTCGACCCTAATTGTTCTCTGTCATATACTGCCACTCTGTTCTTATTTCCTTCACACACTTGCCAGTGTTTGCACTCATCTGTCGTGCTCATCAGCTGTCCCTGCTTCCCTCTCCATTACGAAGACAGCGCCTCGAGGGGCAGGGACCCTGTCTGTCTTGCTCATGATTAACTTCCCAGAGCCCAGAACCGTGTCTGGCCCATAGTAGGTATTCAGCAAATATTTGTTGAAGGAAAGAATGAATGAATAGCTTAAATACAAAAAATATGACAATTTAAAAAAGTAAGTAAGGTATTACTGTTTGGGAAAAACCATGTCTGGCAGCTGGACACAAAAGCAAAGCACCTAATAAATTCTTGACTTGCTTTGCTAACAGTATCACTTTTCTGAAGGTGGAGTACAGCAATCGCTTCTGTTTGAATTCTTCCCAAAAAGTACATATACAGTATTCTGTAATTTGTTTTTTTTGTTTTGTTTTGTTTTTCTTTACTTGCTTAGCAGCATATCCCAAATATTTTGTAATTTGAAAGAAACAAAAAACTAAACTTTTGCAAGCCAGTCATGGTGGCTCACGCCCGTAATCCTAGCACTTTGGGAGGCTGAGGCGGGAGGATCACTTTTGGGCAGGAGTTCAAGACCAGCCTCGGCAATAGCAAAGACCCCGCCCTTACAAAAAATAAAAAAAATTAGCCGGGCACGGCTGGTGGTGTGTGCCTGTAGTCCCACCTTCTCAGGAGGCTGAGGCAGGAGGATTGCTCGAGCCCAGGACTTTGAGATTGTAGTGAGCTATGATCTCACCACTATACTCTAGCCCAGGTGACAGAGTGAGACCCTGTCTCACAAGCACACACACACACAAAAACAAAACAAAACACTAAAATTTTACATTGTTACCAAAAGCAGCCAGCAGAGGGAGCCTCTGCAAGGAATCTCAGTCTACAAGGTCTTTTTCACAGAGCTGCAATGAATTACTGAGGAAATCAACCACACAGCAGAGTTTTGGAAGTAAACTGAAATGTTAACCTGTTTTAGTACTAGCTGTTTATATTTACTCAACTATCCGAAAGTTCAAACTGTTTGCTTCAAAATGAGAATCCTAAGTAAGTTTAATATTTTTCAATGAAAACTTGAATTGAAGAAACAATTTAACAATTTAGGAACACAAAAATCTTACAGAAAAGCGAGCTTTTGTTTAACTGTTTGGTAGAAATGAAGATAATGCATATAAATTACCATCAATTTCAGGACACAATATACCATCCCAACAATCAAATTAAAATTTTGGCTGGAGAAAACTCACAGAAGGAAGGGTTGGGGACACAAAGTGAACTGATACCCTTACTTAATACATCAACAGGGTCTAAACACCTTTGGCAGAATCGTGTTCTCACATTTAGAGAATAAGTGGTTTAAATACGGCTTGTTACTCAACCACTATTTTAGTTCACACAGGTACCAACAGTGTCTCTCTCTCTTACTATTCTCCCTCTTCCTCATGATTTCAATATTCTCTCTATAATTATTCATCTAGATTACAATTTTAATAGCAAATGTCTTTCAATATATGTTTAATTTTTCCCATTTATTTTATTTTTTAAAGATAGGGCTTCGCTCTGTCACCTGGGCTGTAGTGCAGTGTCCTGATCACAGCTCACTGCAGCCTCGAACTCCTGGGCTCAAGCGATCCTCCTGCCTCAGCCTCCCAAGTAGCTGGGACTACAGGTGTGTGCCACTATACCCCATTGGCTTTTTTAATTTTTTGCAGAGACGGGGTCTCACTGTGTTGCCCAAGCTCGTTTCAAACTCCTGGTCTCAAGCGATACTCCTGCCTCAGCTTCCCAAAGTGCTGGGATTACAGGCTTGAGCCATCATGCCCAGCCATTTACTGCTTATTAATAAAGCTATGATGCTGATCCTTATAGCTGAATCTGTAAGCACAAGGATAAATCCTTAGAGGTGAAATTATGGCATTGCTGAGATTATATCCCTTATTTTAGCTTTCTGATATAATAAACTGTCCTCCAGAAAGGCTGTATTTATTCTCTATTCAATAACCTTTTTGCCTGTTTTTGTAGTCTGACCCAAACCAGTACTGTCACAATATTTAGTACCGTTACTCTAAAACAATTTAACAATATTTTGGGCAAAATGATATCATATAGTTTCTTTACTATGTCTTTCTTTAATTATTAGGTGAAGTTACACATTTTCTTCATCTATTTGTTGATCGTATGTCTTCTTTTTTGACTTACCTGTTCATGTCCCTTGCCCATTTTCTTACTGATTTATAGGAGCTTTTTAAAAAAGTATAAATGAAAAATAATCCTTTATCCATTATAAGTGTTACAAATATAAGTAAATAACTGAAAATGGCTCAGTTTGTCCCAGATTTGCAAAGACATTGAGTGTGTAATGACATGAGCTCAAGATCATCAAGGCTGTAGTTGGAACAGAGGAGAAGGAATTCTATGTTCTCTATATACCTTTAAAGAAACACTGGGTGACTTAGAAAAATGATACACTATGTTTAAAAGCTGTAGACTTAGCAACAAAGATAATGCCACTTGCTCATTATGATCCAAGAGTACGTAATATTTTAGTTACATTGTGGTCAAGAAGACTATTTTTCAGACATCTCAGCTTCCTCATCGTGGACCAATAATCACAATACATTCCAGTAACATACACTGCTGACTATAAACCTGCACGTATAGGTTGTTTTTTTCAAAAAGCAATCATTTCAAATGTGCGAACTTCGACCAGAGCTTAAGCTTCTGTTAAAGTAAGAGTCACATTACCATGTGGACGGGACTTGAACCACGATTCTGGAGCCTTCTAAACTGATCTGGGGGGCGTAGGCTTCTTTATTTTCAATCTGTGCCGTGTCGACTACCACCTAACAGAAAAAACAACAACCAGCTTTCAGAGAGGAAAACGGATCACAAACAAATCCAATACCTGAGCCTATTAATGCTGAGGAGACTTTGGCAAGAATTATTCCCCTGGCAGTGCAGTCATGCCAAGCACGGCCAGTAGGGGCCCCAAAAGACAACAGCAATTAATGAAGACACTGAATACAATAATCCTTCAGAGCTAGACCCCATCTTAAAAAAAAAAAAAAAAAAAACCAAAAACACGTCAATCAAGAGAAACCAAATTCTAGGTGTGAGATTTACTGAACTTGGCAATCTAGCACTTTTCCAAAACTATAAATATGCTATTTAGGAATTACTTTGTTTCCTTTGTTTTAGTATTTTTTACTCTATACACTTAAAAGAAGCAAAAATGTCATTAAAAGTCAAACCGATGCTTCAGAAAAACCTCTTGTAATGTATAAGCCAGTAGTGGATGAAACTTTTTTAAAGATTATTTTATCCTCAACCGTCAATGAAAACTGAACTACTACTTCAGAACAGAGGAAGACCCAACCCTTCTTTCAATGATTTCCTCTTATTTTGAGGAAAAGTCCTTAATACTACACAGATGATATAGTATCCTAGGTAATCGAAAGAGTTTGACAAAGTGATAAATATATTTTCAAATAACTAAAAGAATTTCAAAAAAAATCATAAAATACTTTAAAACCAAATCTGTAATATTTCAGAACAGGTAAAGCCATGCAGAGTTATTTATCATGATTCCAAATTCAGCCTCTGATGGAGCTGATTTCCACTGCTGTAAACAGAGTTCTCACAGCTGGTCTGCAATGACCTTCAGAAAAATCTTCCTGTCCAAGGAACAGCCATTGTTGGACCACACAGGTGTTTCCTCTCTCCTCCTACCCCCCAGAACCATAACCTCTAAAGATTCTTTGTCAGTCACACACGAGGGTACCCTGCAATCAACGGGTAGGGAACTAGGAATAAGTTTCTGCTCTCTGAGTAACATGGAACTTTTTTTTAAACCTACGATGTTTTCTCAAAACAGCCTAGGTGTCCATCTGCCTTATTTTGCAAACTCCTTTCTGGAGAACTCATTGGCATGGTTCTTCTAGTTTCAGTTAAATGGTATTAGGGAGTATGGATCAATCTCCTAAAGACAGTGGGCTTTTCATAGGTTCTAAGGATCAGGAAAGAAAAAAAAAAGGCAGTGGGCTCTTCCACATTTCAGCGGGGCATGTGTGGTTTATTATTTCTCTCGGGGTTCCTACACTGAGGAACAGATCCTGAAGGAAGTGTAACGCACCACTGTGGACAGGCCCTCGTCTAGTCCTCTACAAGGCAGCTCCAACCTGAGCTGGGCCACCTGAGCCCTCGGCTGCTTGAAACAAAAGGACAACATCCTCCCAATTGTTCTTTTCATGAATAAAGTAGGAATCGCACTAAAAAACATTTCTTTAATGTTCTTATTTTCTAATTAGCTTCCTCTAACCTCTGACTGAAATGCTGTATCTTTTCAAAAAGTAGTCACTTACTAGAAAGTAAGATCAAGTACATAAGGTTCTACAGGTTAATGGTGCCAAACAAAAAGCTAAATGGTGATTTCAGATGTTGACCTGACCCTACACAACCTTCAGCAAAAGTTTTTGTTTTTTTTTTCTCTGAAAGGTGAAAAAACCAAACCATTATTTATTTTATTTATTTATTTTTGAGACAGGGTCACAGGTCTCGCTCCGTTGCCCAGTTCGAGTGCAGCGGTGCCATCATAGCTCACTGCAAGCTCAACCTCCTGACCTCATGCAATCCTCCTGCCTAGGCCTCCCAAAGTGCTAGGAGTACAGGTGTGATCCACCACGCCTGGCCGAAAATCATTATTTTTTAGTTGATAGCGTTATTTTATTGCTAAGAAGGAGATAAACAGAGAGCTGAGATACCAAGTGACTGGATGGAGTCACTACTTATCCCAGTGTGGTCGAGGGAGCTGACACCAGGAAGATGAGAGTGAGCCACATGAAGACCAGACAAAAGAGTATTTTCAGGTAAAGGGCACCAAGTGCAAAGGCCCGAGACAGAAAGCAGCGCGGCGTGTTTGAGCACCAACATCCAGTGCAGCTCCTGAGCAGGGGGCCAGGTCAAGAGGCCCTGTCACATCGCTACTAATGTAAATGTTTCCTTAGAATGAAAAACGCCTACAATATCACTTTGCAACTAAGTTCCCTGCAAATACATATTATCAACCTGTAAAAGAAAAAAAAAGATTTTTTAAATGCTGCTCTTCTTTTCCCTTTCCTATCTGGTCTAAATTCTGCAGCACTGAAATCTTTTCAAATTGCTCAGAATTTTCACTTGTGCGCCTGCACCACATCCTCACCTGCTGGAAACGCGTCTCTCTATTCTCCTACCGTGCACCACACACGTTCACTTACCAGTCCGGCCTGGCCAAACAGGAGCTGCACAGCGGTCTTGCAGGCACCCCGCCATGTGGACGGGCACACCTGGTTCAGTACTTCGGTCACAGGAAAATCGTCCCTGGATGTGATTCCATTGCAGCAGCCGGCTTCCTTCATCAGCTGTAACATCGTATGCTACAGATCGACAAGAAGAGAGCTCACACCTCAAGACAAAGGCATCCAAGGTTCCAAATTTGTAGAAATGCATTGACACAATCATCCTTAAAAGTTTTTGACACCCTAATCGTATCCTTTTTTTTTTGAGACAGGGTCTCACTCTGTCACCTAAGCTGAAGTACAGTGGCAAGATCATAGCTCACCGCAACCTCGAACTCCTAGGTTCAAATGATCCTTCCACTTCAGACTCTAGAGTAGCTGAGACTACAGGCATGTGCTACCACACCCAGCTAATTTTTTATTTATTATTTTATTTTTCATAGAGACAGGGTCTTGCTATGTTTGCCCAGGCTGGTCTTGAACTCCTGGCCTCAAAGAATCTTCTTGCCTCAGCCCCCCAAAGCACTGGACTACAGGTGTGAGCCACTGTGCCAGGCCTGAATTTACTTAGTAATGATCATGAGTCACCCTCAGAGATTTCCTCAACCCAGTGGAGTAAATGGCCAGATACGGATATACATGCAAGATAATATGCACATGTGATTTCTGTACTAGCACAAAATACAGAATTATTTAGCAATCTGCTGGTGCCAATTAGTTGAGGAATTTTGAAATTCCAAATCACTCCAAGTAAGGAAACAAAATCATCCAGTAAAAGTAAACACCAATCAAAACCTCGACTTTATTTTGGATGACGAAGTGGTCAGGTACGCAGGCTCTGGAAACAGGCTGCAAAAGCTCAAATTCCAGCTTTACTACTTTCTAGTTATGTGACCTCAGGCCTCAGTTCCCCTAGTTGTCAAATGCCAAAAAGGGGCTATAGTTACACACCACTGTACCTGGCTTCTGTTTTTGGTTTTTTTTTGTTTTGTTTTGTTTTGTTTTGAGACAGAGTCTCACTGTGTTGCCCGGGCTAGAGTGCCGTGGCGTCAGCCTAGCTCACAGCAACCTCAAACTCCTGGGCTCAAGCAATCCTCCTGCCTCAGCCTCCCGAGTAGCTGGGACTACAGGCATGTGCCACCATGCCTGGCTAATTTTTTCTATATATTTTTAGTTGTCCAATTAATTTCTTTCTAATTTTAGTAGAGACGGGGTCTCGCTCTTGCTCAGGCTGGTTTCGAACTCCTGAGCTCAAACAATCCGCCTGCCTCGGCCTCCCAGAGAGCTAGGATTACAGGCGTGAGCCACTGCGCCCGGCCTTGTTTTTGTTTTTTTCTTTTAAAACAGGGTCTCACTCTGTCACCCAGGCAAGAGTGCAATGGCATCATCATAGCTCACTGCAACCTCAAACTCCTGGACTCGAGCAATTCTCCTGCCTCAGCTTCCTGAGTAGCTGAGAGTATAGACATTTGCCACCACATCCAGCTAATTTTTCTACTTTTTGTAGAGATGGGGTCTTGATCTTGCTCAGGCTGGTCTCAAACTCCTGGCCTCAAGCAATCCTCCTGCCTTGGCCTCCCAAAGTGCTAGGATTATAGGCGTGAGCCACCGTGCTTGGCCCTGTTTTGTTCTTTAATCAACATTCTTTATAAGTCCTTAAGTTTCCCTTAACAACTTTATTTTCGAGTTCATGCTTGGTTGCTGGAACCCCATGGAAAGCTACCGTCTTTAGTTTCAGATTGTCGGCGGCCGACTCATTAAAGGAGACACCCTTCAGGAAGTGCGATCCTATCTGCACGGGGACGGTGGGAAGCTCACACTGCATGGGCTGCGGGGGTGTCTGCCTTCGCCCCGTCTGCTGGGCTTCCGCCTCGCTGCAGCAGCCCTGGAAAAGGTTTGGATGGGAGAGGAGAGGTGACCCATGGCTCATCTGTCAAAACACTTCATTAAGGCTAACTGTGTGAATGGCTCCCACAGGTCCCAAGAGCTACCAGAAAGAAAAGCGTACCTGCAAACTTGCTTCAATTGCCTTTGGATTCAGGTGGAAGCCAGCTTTCATTGCATATTCACAGTGGCCTAAGCTTTCCAGAGCTATTTTATATGCCTGCAAATAAATTATTTCCAAGAATCAAGATTGTATAGCAGATTACAACATGACAAAGTCCAATGGAAACAGAAATTTAAAATTTCTATAGTTATTAAAAGATTTGAGACCAATTACCATTTTATTGTCTTTTCTAATTGGTTCAACATCACAATTTTAACTCCTCCTCTCGTTTCTATCCCTTGGATATCAGCATGTCAGTTCTGAAAAACTTACCTGCAAAGCACTATCAATTTTTATGTTCAGCTCTTTTAGCTGGTGATCGGGAATTGCTGCACTCTGAGAACAAAAGAGCTGTTGGACTTCAATTCCTGCCAGGCGACCATCGCAGCCTCTTTCTCTCAGTCTAGATGTTGCCTGCAACAAAAACAGTGACCGGTAGGTACAAGAGGATGCTAGAGTTACTAGCAAAATTTAAACAGCAGCAGCAAAAAGCCCCACACCTAGAGGGGCCCCGTCCGGGGGGAAAAAAACCCCACACCTAAAATGTATCGAGAAACCATTTAAGCATTAGATATAAACCACAGGTCCTGGACTGTTTGTATAACAAAGTGAGCAGCCCAAAATTTTGAAAGCCTAAATTAACTGTCTTGAAGAGAACGCACAACCTGACATAGCACTACCTTATTTTAGGAACCCTGGAAAAAAGACTTACCTGCTTGTTAATTGTTTTCTATATATATAAAACATTTACACATTTTAAATTTCTCTGTTTTAAAAAGACAGACAACCTAGAATACTGGCACTTGGAGTTTCCAGAATAAAAAGGAAGAACCATACATGTTGAGTGTTCCTCTACACCGAAGTAAAGAGCTACACTAATATAGAACAGAAAAAAACATACATGGGGGCTGGGCGCGATGGCTCACGCCTGTAATCCTAGCACTCTGGGAGGCCGAGGCGTGTGGATCGCTCAAGGTCAGGAGTTCGAGACCAGCCTGAGCAAGAGCAAGACCCCGTCTCTACTAAAAAATAGAAAGAAATGATTTGGACAACTAGAAATATACAGAAAAAAAATTAGCCGGGCATGGTGGCACATGCCTGTAGTCCCAGCTACTCGGGAGACTGAGGCAGAAGGATTGCTTGAGCCCAGGAGTTTGAGGTTGCTGTGAGCTAGGCTGATGCCATGGCACTCACTCTAGCCCGGGCAACAA